TCTGTCTGACATTTCCAGCCACCTTTGCAAATTTCTGTCTGACATTTCCAGCCACCCTTTGCAAATTTCTTCCCATTGCAAACTCTGACATTTCAGCCACCCTTTGCAAACTTCTGTCTGACATTTCCTGTCCACCTTTTGCAAACTTCTGTCTGACATTTCCAGCCACCCTTTGCAAACTTCTGTCTGACATTTCCACACCCTTTGCAAAACTTCTGTCTGATATTTCCACCACCTTTGCAAACTTCTGTCTGACATTTCCTGTCACCCTTTGCAAACTTCTGTCCTGACATTTCCTTTCTTCCCTTTGCAAACTTCTGTCTGACATTTCCTGCCACCCTTTGCAAACTTCTGTCTGACATTTCCTGCCACCTTTGCAAACTTTTTGTCTGACATTTCACCTTCTTTCCTTTCAAACAAACTGTCTGACATTTCCTGCCACCCTTTGCAAATTTCTGTCTGACATTTCCTGCCACCCTTTGCAAACTTCTGTCTGACATTTCCTGCCACCCTTTGCAAACTTTCTGTCTGACATTTCTGCCACCCTTTGCAAACTTCTGTCTCATTTCTGACATTTCCTCTGACCACCCTTTGCAAACTTCTGTCTGACATTTCCTTTCACCCTTTACCAAACTTTCTGTCTGACATTTCCCACCCTTGCCACCCTTTGTCTGACATTCCTGCCACCCTTGCATTTCTCCTTTTCCCTGTGCAAACTTCTGTCTGACATTTCCTTTCACCCTTGCAAACTTCTGTCTGACATTTCCTTTCACCCTTTGCAAACTTCTGTCTGACATTTCCTGCCACCTTTGCAAACTTCTGTCTGATATTTCCAGCCACCCTTTCTCTGCAAACTTCTGTTCTGACATTTCCTGCCACCCTTTGCAAACTTCTGTCTGACATTTCCTTTCACCCTTTGCAAACTTCTGTCTGACATTTCCTGCCACCCTTTGCAAACTTCTGTCTGACATTTCCTTTCACCCTTTGCAAACTTCTGTCTGACATTTCCAGCCACCCTTTGCAAACTTCTGTCTGACATTTCCTGCCACCCTGTGCAAACTTCTGTCTGACATTTCCTGTCACCCTTTGCAAACTTCTGTCTGACATTTCCTTTCACCCTGTGCAAACTTCTGTCTGATATTTCCTGCCACCCTTTGCAAACTTCTGTCTGACATTTCCTTTCACCCTTGCAAACTTCTGTCTGACATTTCCAGCCCACCCTTTTTCAAACCACCCATTTCCAAACTTCTGTCTGACATTTCCAGCCACCCTTGCAAACTTCTGTTGACATTTCCACCACCCTTTGCAAACTTCTGTCTGACATTTCTGCCACCCTGTGCAAACTTCTGTCTGACATTTCCTGCCACCTTTGCAAACTTCTGTCTGACATTTCCAGCCACCCTTTTGCAAACTTCTGTCTGACATTTCCACACCCTTTGTCTGACAACCCTGTGCAAACTTCTGTCTGACATTTCCAGCCACCCTTGCAAACTTCTGTCTGACATTTTTCCTGCCACCCTTTGCAAACTTCTGTCTGACATTTCCAGCCACCCTTTGCAAACTTCTCTCTGACATTTCCTTTCACCCTGTGCAAACTTCTGTCTGACATTTCCTTTCACCTTTGTAAACTTCTGTCTGACATTTCCCCTGCAAAATTCTGTCTGACCCTTTCACCTGTGCAAATTTCTGTCTGACATTTCCTGCCACCCTGTGCAAAATTCTGTCCCTGACATTTCCTGCCACCCTGTGCAAACTTCTGTCTGACATTTTCCTTTCACCTTTTGCAAACTTCTCTGACAGTTATTGAGTTCAATCTCTGCCACCCTTTGGAAACTTCTGTCTAAAAAGGTGAACAAAAATGAAAATTCCTTTCTACCCTTGCAAACTTTGATTGTGATTACTTGAGAAAGGCATTTGGATTCCAAAGAACAACTGAAAATGAAGATGCCCTGAACATTTGTAAACTTCTGCCTGATATTTCCTGCCACCCTTCACTATGTAAACTTCTGTCTGACATTTCCGCCACCCTTTGGTAAACTTCATGCAGTCTGACATTTCCCTGCAGTGACCAACCTTTAATGAAAATAAACTTTACATGTCTGACATTTCCTGCCACCAAAATTTGCAAACTTCTTTTTAGTCTGATTATTTCCCATTTCAAAGCCTCTGATTTCTTGAAACCACCTCTTAATTGCTTCTGTCTGACATTTCCACCTAGTATCCCCTTTAACCCCCAAACTGGGGTTAAAACTTGTCATTTTGAAAAAAATTTACCAGCCACCTTTGTATACTATTTTCTAGAAAAAAAAAATCTGAAAATCTTATTTCCATTGAGCCACCCTTTTGCAAACTTCTGTCTGACATTTCCTGCCACCCTGTGCAAACTTCAGTGTCCCTGACATTTCCTTTCACCAATTTTATTCAGAGGAGGAAAATTTAATTTGCAAAATATTCTGTCTGACATTTCCTTTCACCCTGTGCAAAAATCCAACTTCTGTCTGACATTTTTCCTTTCCCCTGTACAAAAGTGACTTCTGTCTGATCAATTTCCCTGCTGTTACCCACCCTTTTGCAAACTTTCTGACCATTTCCCTTTTGTGATCAAACTTCTGTCTGACATTTCCAGCCACCCTTTGCAAACTAGGGTTTCTGTCTGACATTTCAAGCCACCCTTTGCAAACTTCTGTCTGATATTTCCAATACCCTTTGCAAACTTGTTTCTGCCTGACATTTCCAACAACACCCCTTTGCAAAAAGTCATCTGTTTTGACATTTTCCACCCTGTGCAAAACTCTGTCTGACATTTCCACCATACACCATATAGCTTGGATGCAAACTTCTGTCTGACATTTCCCTGCCAAGGTTAGCTTTGTAAACTTCTCTGACATTTTCAGTAAAGAATACCCTTTGCAAACTTCATTTTTTTTTTTTTACTGCTAAGATATTTCCTTTTTCACCTTTTTCTAATTAAACACTTTCTGTCTAAGACATTTCCTTACCACCAATTTTGGAAACTTTTCTCTGACATTTCCAGCCACTTTTGCTTGCAAACTTCTGTCTGAAACATTCCTGTCACCCTTTGGAAACTTTCTGTCACACATTTCTAATTTCACCTGTGCAAACTTCTGTCTGATTTCCTTTCACCCTGTGCAAAATTCTGTCCATCTACATTTCCCTTTCACCCAGGATTCTGTTATCAACAATGAAATTCTTGTCATAAGACATTTTCTTTCACCTGTGCAAACTTTCTGTCTAAAAAACATTTTCCTGTCACCCTGTAAAAATTCTGTCTGACAATTCCTTTTCACCCTGTGCAAATTAATATGTTTATCAGTTCATAGACAATTCTCACTCTGCATGAATTCTATCTGAGAATTTTTAAAAACTATGAAAAATATGAAGAACATTCTCTTATACTGCATACAGAATTGAAAATGGTTAAAAAACAGTTCCAAGTAGTATAGGTATATATATATACGAAACCTTTGGAATTAAAAGCTATTATATCACACAATTTAATGACAAACACACACATTATTGAGTTCAATCTCTGTGTATATATATATATACCAACTCAGACTTGGTGGAAAAGAAATATATACATATATAATAACTGAGAGGTACTAAAAGGTGAACAAAATGAAATCCATAGACATGGACAGTGGCATGAAAACAGTCTACCCCTTGTAGATTAAGTAAAGGGTTCTGTTCAAAAGTCCTTAAAAGGTTACCTAGATTGACAGTTACTTGAGAAGGCTGGATGGTACAATGGTTGAAAGAACAACTGAAAATGAAGATGCTAGCCTGAACATAAATAATGTAAACTAAAGTGAAAGAATTTAAAATCCAAGAATTATAAAGATAATAGTTTTAAAAAAAAAGATCATGTGATGGAACAGACTCCTCATCACTATGATCTTAACCTCTTCAAGTCTAGGGCAACAGTTAGTTATTGTACATATCTTCATAATATGCACATTTTCCTTGCTTAACATTCTTACAACACCCTCATGCAGTCACACTCTAGCTTGAGTGGCATTTAAGCCTTGTATTCAGTGACCAACCATAAAAAATAAAATAATGAAAAATAATGTAAATAAAAACAATTTACATAGAGAGATATTGATTTTTTTTTTTTACAGTTTATCAACCATTTTAAAATCAAGAAATACATTTTTTTTTAATTTTAGCTATGCTTTTTAGCTTTAACATAACTATTATGGTGTCTTGGGTATTATGATAAATTATATCCATTAGCAAAGCCTCTGATCAGGAGTTCTTGAGGAGCGTGGAACCACCTCTTAATTGCTGGTGTTCCCATGTCCACCCTGACCCAGGGTGGTAGCACCTATTAGTATCCTAGCTAAGGGCAAATAGTTAACCCCCAAACTGGGGTTAAAACAGGTAAAAATAGATTTTAATACCAGCAATACATTTTTGAAAAAAGAAATATTACCAGCAATACATTTTTGGGAAAAATATTACCAGAAATATTTTCTAGAAAAAAAAAATATTACCAACAATAAAAATCTTGTTGGTATTAAATAATCCATTGAGGTTGATATGCTGTAAAAGAAACCAAACCAAAAAAAAAAAAAAAAACTATTATGGAAACTGCTAGTGCTAATGCCCCCCATCCCCAGGATTGAACTCTACGTTCTTGACTAACAAATACAGTTGTTACCCTGTCACACTTGCTAATTAAAAATGAGCTTCTAACAATTTGTTCAGAGGAGGAAAATTTAATTTGCTTCTAGAATCTATGCCAGAAAATGTCACTGGTGAAACATTTTAGATTATAAGAGCTTTTTGGAGATAATGATTTACTGATACAAATCCAACTAATAAAAACATAGCTGATCAGGGAAGGGGTGGTTTCATGCCTTTCTCAATGATATTTACACATAAGTGACTATAAGGAACCTGACTGGAATTCAAACTCAGCTCATCAATTTCCAATTCTGAGCTGTTACCCATTACACCACATGCATATCCAAACTAACAACACCTGGTCTTCCCTTGTGTCACCCATCTAAGTACTGACCAGGCTTGATGTTGCTTAACTTTGGTGATCATACAAGAACTGGTGCTTCAATGTGATATGGCTATATCATGCCAGCCACACAACTAAATTTACAGCACCTAGTATTCCCAACAAGTCACCAGTCTAGGGTTTCAATAGGATATGGCCATAAGCTGTACCACCAGCACATCCAAGCTTACAGCAGCTAGTATTCACAAGGGGTCACCCATCTAAGTACTGACCAGGCTTTATGTTGCTTAACTTTGTTGATTGTACAAGAACCAGTGTTTCAAAAAATGATATGGCTATAAGCTATGCCAGCAACAGGTATTTCCAAAAAGTCATCTAGGTACTGTCCAGGCTCAACATTGCTTAACTTCAGTGACTGTATCAGAACTGGTGTTTCAACAGGATATAGTTGTAAGCCACCATACCACCATATGTAAGCTTGGATGTATTCCAAGCTTACAGCACCTGGTAATCCCAAGCAGTCACCCATTTAAGTACTGACCAAGGTTAGCTTTGCTTATCTTCAGTGATCATACGAGGACTGATATTTCAGTAAAAGAGAAAGAGAGAGAAATGAAGGAATATGTTTTGCATGATTACAAGTAATCATTTTTTTTTTTTTTACATGCTAAGATATTATTTTAATTTTCAAATTAATGATTTTTGTCCTCGTTTTCTTTCTAATTAAACACTTTAATCTTTATAAAGAGAAAAAAAAACAAAACTACTTGTAATTTACAAAAGAAAAAAAAATACAACTTAAAAACAATCTGATTGGATAAATATCCTTTTCTTGTTCTCCTGCAAATTTATCGGTACTGCCGCTTCTTCAATTTCTTTTGCTCCAGTTGCCAGAAAGTCTAATTATCCAAAACAATTGCGCTTAAGGTACTTGAAACTTGCTAGCCTTCATCTCATGATAATTATCTCAATTCTAATTAGTCAAATAATTCTGAGTCACATGCACATTACTCATATGCTAATTAGTCACATGGTAATTGATAATAGATTAATTAGTGTGTGTTTATATTTTGTAATATTCCTATGTTTTCCAAATATCTATTAGATGTAAGTATACAACACCAAATGATGAATGTGGTAGGATCCATCTACACAAGTTTTGTTCCTATTCGACTGCCAAAAAAACCCAAAACAAAAAAATTTATCCAAAAACAAAACCATATTTAAAACCCAAAAAATAAAACCAACACCCAATCACAAAATAATTCCAACACACACAACACTTTTCACAACAAACACATTAATTATAATTAATTATTTTTTTAATTTTTATTATTTTTAAACACTACAATAATACACACAAATAATTGGACCTTTAAAACCCCAACCCCCTTCCCTCTAATTAACACAAAATATTTTAAATTTTTTTAATTAACATTTATATTTTTTATATATATATATATATATATATATATATATATATATATATATATATAAAATATATATATAAAAAAATAAAATAAAATAAAAATATATATAAAAAATATATATATATATATATATATATAATTATATATATATATATATATATATATAATATTTTATATATATATATATATATAAAATAAAATAAAAATATATAAAAAATATATATATATACAAAAAATATTATTAATATAAAAAAATAATATATAAAAATATATAAAATAAAAATTACATTTTATATATATATATATATATATATATATATATATTAATCTATAATATTTTAAATAATATATATATATAATATATATATATAAATAATAATATTTTAAAAAATATATATAAAAATATATATATATATATAAAAATATATTATATATATATATATAAAATATATATATAAAAATATATATATAAAATTATTATATATAAAAATATTATATAAAATATATATATATATATATATATAATATATATATATATATATATAAAAATATATATACATATATTTTGGAAATATAGTTTTATATGTGCTTAAAGGCCTAACATCAGATAGTTTTTTAAAAAAGTTATATATATACATATACATATATAGCACATACATATATATATATACATATATATATTTACATACATACAAGATATACATATATATATATATATATATATAAAGAAATATAGTTTTAAAGAAATATAGTTTTAAGTGCTCAATATCAGAGATAGATAGAGTATGTAAAGTGAACATTGAAGTCATTGTCAGAGAAATATAGGCCGTTCTAAAGCATGGTAGTTGACGATTGCATTTCTAATATGAAACAGTCTGTCGCCTATAGTGTTGACTTATATATATATATATATATATATATATATATATATATGAAGAAAATATAGTTTTAAGGTGTACTTTATTTATGGGATAAAGTGCTCAATATCAGAGACAGAGCTTATGTAAATATAGATAAAGTGAATATTGAAGTCAACATTCTGAGGTAACAGGCTTTTTTCATGCTAGATGCCTGATGATTGCATTTAACATGAAACAGTCTGTCGCCTCTGAGTGTTGACATATATATATATATATATATATATATATATATATATATATATATATATATATATATATAAACACACACACATGTTTAGATCAAAACGATCCCAAATTGGTTTGAATCCCAAGAAACAGTATGTTTTATTTTTATATTCATAAGGGATATCAAAAATATAATTTTACATAGAGGTATGAAGTTTTTGAATACAAGGTTTTCTAGAAAATAATTTCAGACTGCCTCATGAAAATCTTTTTCTCAAATTTTGAGGGAGTAGTGAAGGGTGTTGTTACTGTTATTTTCTAAATGGTCCAAAAATAACATGTGGTAGGTCTACAACTACATCTGCAAGTATTTTTGGCAGTATTTGTCCTAGTAATTATTGTTTATCAACTAAACCTTCTGGTGGGATTTTATTGGTTGAAAAATATATTTAGGATTTAATTCCTTTTTATATGTCCCAAAAATTCATACACTGGACAAACTCAAGGATACATGGTCCAGTGAAAAAAAACTGCTGGTTGGATCGAGTGACTTGACCCAAAGTGTTGTGAGTTCAATACCAGGCTACTGCAGTGGTATTGAAAAACTTGGAGAGTTGAGTTAAAGGGAGGTAACTGAGACATCCAGAACAGGCATGGTGCTAGAAGAATCTATCCTGATGGATGAAATAAAGGGTTCAGTTTGAAATTCCACTCACCTGAAGAAGGCTGGAGTGAACAAAAGTTGAAACACCATGACCATCCTGGGTATGACAATAAACTACATCCATGTCCTGGGTAAGATGATAAACTACATCAAGCAGCAAGGCCTCTGATCAGGAGGTTTGCTGGTGTTCCCAGGTCCACCCTGACCTGGGTTGGTAGCACCTATTAGGGTCCCAGCTATGGAAAAATAGTTAACACCCAAACTTGTGTAAAAATAGATTTTAATACCAGAAATACTTTGTAATAAAAAAAAAAATTATTACCAGCAATATCTTGAAAAAAATACCAGCAATACAAGCAGCTATATATTTTTTGGAAAAAAATATGGCCCACTATAGATTTCTTCAAGGAAAAATATTCCCGGAAATAGATTTTTGATAAAAAACATTACCAGCAATAAAAAATTTTTTCGGCATTAAATAACCCATTGAGGTTGATATGCCGTAAAGCAAAACAAACCAAATGGAAACACTGTGAATATATTAAAAAAGATGAGGACAACACTCCGAAGAGTGTAAATAAATTCAAACTTGATTAGACTTTATCAGTGTACAAATAATAACCATGACTTCAGAGAACAACAGTATGAAGAATAAAAAAATGCAGGGAATTTTAAAAATTAAGATTCATCTATTTTTCTTTAACAGGTTAGTTCTGTTTTTTTTTTGTTTTCTTTTTTGGTCTGTGTATGTAAAACCAATCTTGTCATTACAACAAAATCATTCAGCATTTCTTTTTTGTTGCTAGTCATTGATTATTTAACAGAATAAAAAATTGTGAAGACACATGATCACCCATGTCCTGAAAAGACATTTTGTTTTTTAATCATTTTACCCCAAGCAAGGCAATAATGCCACTAAGACACAGAGGATTACAGGGAGTGAAAGAGAATGAGAAGACTTGACTTTAGTGAGGAGGAGAAAGGACAATAAAGGAACAGGGTTCAGGAAGACAGAAGATGGCAACTGACATCACATTTAATTGTTTGATGATTGTAGTTGGCAGGGAAGCAAGAAATCAGAAGGGAAGGTGAGAAAGGAAGCACTTTGAATAAACCATACAGTTGCATCTAGCTAGTTCAACATAAAAATGGTGAGACTTAGTTGCCAATCTAGTTGTAGGCTTGTAAGAAGCTGACTGACTATCATTTTGATCTGATTAACCCTTCTTCACTGATAAACCCTTGTTGAGATAACTTATTTTTTTTTTTTTTAAAAAAAAAAAAAAAGGATCATTCTCTTTGTGGAAATCTTAGAGCAGCAGTAATTTTAAAACCAGTGTCAAACTTTTTCCAGCATCTCCTTCACTTCCTCAATAACATTAGACTCCCCTATGATGTATAGGGCCACAGACTCAACACACTAAGTGTTGCTATGGTGATTACTGCAGCAAGTAGGCTTTTACAGGTGGTTGAAATGTCGAACTGAAGAAGCATCTGAAGAAGGCTGGAGCATACAATGGCCAAAACTTTGTGATAAATATGGCAAAAAAAATGAGGAAAATAGTCCGAATAATGTAAATAGTGTGCATAATACTTCATCTCAGAAATATAGACAGGTACAAAAAGGAAACTTATATTTAACATCAGGAAGAGGAACATAATGAAGAAAGAGGGCTTGGAAAATATGATACTCACAGGGCAGATTAAAGGCAAGAGGGACAGAGGAAAACAATGCATAACTTACCTAGTAAGTTAGAGAAAATGAATAGCTGAGCATGATAACAAAAAGACAAAGTTTATTAAGAACATCAAAAGACAGGAAACTGTGGAGAGCCATGATCGCCAATGTTCTGAAGGGAAATCGCACAGAGGAAGATTGCTGAGAGAATAAATATTTTAATTGATATATTAAGTTGAGTTTTAAATAACTTCTGATTTTGTTTATCAAATTTATTCATCAAAAAATAAAGTACGATTACATTTTATTCAATTATATTTTCGCCATTATTTGCAATGACTCATCAGCCAGAATGATGTTAATGTTTGAATAAAATTCCACAGGTACTGAGGTTGCAAAATTTTTTTTATGAACTCTTGAATCTAGTTTTCATTAGAGAAAATTTTCACCATCAAAGCATATTTATAGCAATTGAAAACAGTAATGACTGGTTGGTGAACTGCTTTATTTGGGTGAATGGGGTAGGACATACAAGTCCAAAAAATTTTTCCCCTTTGATATTCTTGTAAGAAAAAAAAAAGAAGACGTATATAAAGCAATTCAATCTGAAGATGAAACCTTGTACACAGCCTTGATTTGGATAAGTTTTTGTATCTGCAACAGCCAGGTTTACAGAAGGTGCGATGCAATTTAAAAAAGAAAATATATAAATCCAATAGACCTAAAATGTCTATTGTTTTTAATAAGGACTATTTCAAAGAACAATTACTGCCTAATTATTCTAAATTTAAGCACCTTTGTTTCATTTAGGAAAAATTAGACGAACAACTTGAAGGTAACATAAAATCATTTCAGCTTTTGTAATTGTATAAAGTGATTTGTTAATAATCACAAGAAAGTATTTTTAGACTTGTGCCTTTTTTGCTGAAGAGGCTCCACAAAGAGGAGATCAAATTGCTCAATGGATTAGTAACTCAAATTTACAATAGCTTCCAGTAATTAGATTGACAAAAAACTGATGGTTCTGGTGCTTTCTTGAAAAGCAGTCTATTATCGGATGAGATCACTGCAGCCTAAAATGATTGGTTTCAGTCTTGAAAGTCGAGTCCACAACAAAGAGGCACTTTTTTTTTTTGAACCCTATAATCACACTTGTTTCATTCATACTAATCAAACTCTCTCAGTCTGTCTCTCTCTCTCTCGCTTGCTTGCACGGTTCATATCTACATCTCTGTCTCTATCCATCAGTTCAGATCTGCCTGCTCTTCTCTCTTTATCTCAGTTCAAATCTGCCAGCCTCTCTTTCTCTCTTCGTTCACATCTGCTTGCCTGCCTCTCTTTCTTGGTTCAGATCTGCCTGCCTATCTTTCTCTCTTGGTTCACATCTACCTACCTGTTTCTAGTGGTTCATCTCTGACTATCTGTCCAATGGTCTCTCTTGCTCCTTCTCTATTTCTCTCTCTCTCTCTCTCTCTGTTGTAGAGTAGTTTCACAGTGGATGCTTGTATTTGTACTAAGTTGGTCCTAAAATAGGTTCGACATACAAAATGTTAGGAACTTGATATAATAGGTAATCACGCAGTAATCGAGTTGTGGTGGCTGATACTTTAATATCTGACTAACGGTCATCCGACATCGACTGACTAACTCCCTGAGTGACTCGGCGACTGCTACTACTCCTACTTATTATAAGCGGGAGAGTCTATTAAAAATAGAATAGGTGTGTTCCAGTATAACACTCTCCCTGTTATATGCTACATATCCTGTTCATATATTTCTGTCTCTTTTGCTTGCATGGCACATTTCTCCCTCTCTTTCTCTCTCTCAGTTAAATTAGTCCTGCCTCTCTCTCAGTTCATATCTGTCTGCCTTTCTCATTTCATATCTGCCTCTCTCTCCCTCTCTCAGTTCATTTCTGCTTGCCTCTCTCTCTCTTTTGCTCACTCTCAGTTAAATTCTTCCTGCCTCTCTCTCAGTTCATATCTGTCTGCCTTTCTCTCTCTCTCTTTTGCTCACTCTCAGTTAAATTCTTCCTCTCTCTCAGTTCATATCTGTCTGCTTTTCTCACTTCATATCTGCCTCTCTCTCTCTCTCACTCTTTGCTCACTCTCAGTTAGAATTCTTCCTGCCTCTCTCTCCCCTATCTGTCTGCCTTTCTCATTTCATATTTGCCTCTCTCTCTCTCCCTCTCTCAGTTCATTTCTGCTTGCCTCTCTCTCTTTTTGCTCACTCTCAGTTAAATTCTTCCTGCCTCTCTCTCAGTTCATATCTGTCTGCCTTTCTCTCTTTCTCTCTTTTGCTCACTCTCAGTTAAATTCTTCCTGCCTCTCTCTCAGTTCTTATCTGTCTGCCTTTCTCACTTCATATCTGCCTCTCTCTCTCTCTCTCTCTTTTGCTCACTCTCAGTTAAATTCTTCCTGCCTCTCTCTCAGTTCCTATCTGTCTGCCTTTCTCATTTCATATTTGCCTCTCTCTCTCCCTCTCTCAGTTCATTTCTGCTTGCCTCTCTCTCTCTCTTTTTTTCACTCTCAGTTAAATTTTTCCTGCCTCTCTCTCAGTTCATATCTGCCTCTCTCTCTCTCTCTCTCTCTCTTGCTCACTCTCAGTTAAATTCTTCCTACCTCTCTCTCACTTCATATCTGCCTCTCTCTCTCTTTTTTCTATCTTTGTTCATATCTGCCTGTCTGTATCTCTTGGCTTATATCTGCTTGCCTATCCATCTCTCTCAGCTCATATCTGTCACTCATGCTCGCTTTCTATTCTTATCTCTTTCTCCCTGTTATATGCTACATATCCTCATAATCTGCACTTACTGCCTCATCTTACATACAAATGACAAACATTCAAAACCTTCTATGATTGTTTGAACTTTTTAGATCAAAGTTATTGTAATCTTGTTGAAAAGAATGTTATAAGTGACAGATAATTCTAACTGGATACTCTTTGTCAAAAATGACGTCCATCAAGTAGGGCCCTTCAACACAAAATCAAATTAAATTAATAGAAACTGTTCCTAACTCAAAAAATGTCTGAGATAATTGTATTTTTCTCATTTTCCCAAAATTCCCAAATATAAAAACAATTTTAATCTTCAAAATGTAAGAAAATATTTAAGAAGATATGCTTAGTTCATGCCATATGTCACATTGACAATTACACACTTTTGGTACCATATATGTATTATAAATTAACTGAAATTAACTGATTTAAAATATGGTTTCTTCGCTTCACAGGAATTACCATGTTTCAAAAAACTGAAGCTAAAGACTTCAAATTTAATTATAATTCCAAAATTCATTTGAAGATGAAACAGAACTAATTTTTAATTTTAATTCAATTATTTAATTAATTATTAATTAAATTTGAGTTTTTAGCTTCAGTTTTTGAAACATGGTAATTCCTGTGTAGCAAAGAAACCATATTTTAAATCAGTTAATTTATAATATTTATGCTCTGTAACATTGAGCACTGTTTTGTAAAAATAAAAATATCAATAAGAACACCGGATTATATATCTTACTGTTCTTTCTTTTTATTATAATATATATATATATATATATATATATATATATATATATATATATATAAAAAATGTATATATTGGGCACTGGATGTCAGTTTGGACATAACGTTTTCTTGTATATCTTTCTAATTGTTTCACCCTAAGCAAGACAACAATAATACTCCTAGAATTCAGGGGGTTACAGGGAGTGAAAGAGAATGAGAAAAATTTATTGGGGATGAGTGAGGAAAGGACAAAAAAGAAACACAGTTCAAGAAGACAGATGATGATTGAGGTTGCATTTAAACTTTTGCTGATTGTAGTTATCAGAGAAGCAACAAAATCAGTTCAACATGTGAGAAGTGCAAGAAAACAAACTGTTAGAGTAGAAGTAGTGCTTGTTCAACAGTAAAATGGTGAGACCTACTAGTAGCATGTACTAGTAGCATGTAGTCATGGCACCAGGGAAAAAATGTCAAGAGAACAATTGCCATGAAAATATTTGTAGAAAAGACAGAGGGAAGCAATCTTATGCTAGGGAGAATGTGTTTATCAGAAAATCATGATCTAGACCCCTATTCCTGTTTTCCGAGTTGTGGAGTACATTTTTTGGTATTGGAAACCCCTAAGAAAAGTCTAAATTATTCAAATGCAAAATTTTAGGTCCTTTGGGAATTTTGGTACTTTACTTTCTGCAGATTAGAGTTTCCAGACTGAAATCCTTAATTTTTTTATTTAGAAAAGTGACAGATTTGTTTTAATCTTCCTCTTAAATACAAATAGAATTAATATAGTTCCCTAATTGAGTTGAAGAATCTTTCAGGAGCTAAAAAAAACTTGAATGTCTGATTGGCTCTATTGCGCAAGCCCTTCATGCTTGGTTTCACTTGAATTTGATCTTGTAATTAAAATTCTGTTTTCATAATGTGGTTAAATCATTCTCTTTCTTGTTGCTTTACATTTCGTTAACATTTAGATGACTGAGTAATTTTTGTTTTCAATTTTTCAAGAAATTCAATTTTTTTTTTTATTAAAACAAAAAAAAAAAGAAGAAATATTACAATTTTTGTTAATTTTAATTCACCACACTGAAAATTCAGTGAAAATTTATTAAATAAAATAAATTAATAAAAAAAAGTAATGCGTTCTTTTCTTTTTCATTATAATTTCGTAAAGTTACTTAGCCAGTTTGTTTTTATTCAAAGCAGAATTCTATGTAAATTATATAGTTGCTCTATACTTTCTATTTTTTATTTAACATGAATAAAATAAATTAAATGCAAAAATTGTTGGCTTTATTTAAAAATAAAACTGATTGCATGGAAAAGCTTTTCTTGTAAATTCAGTTGGCAGTATTTTAATGTTTTTTATAAATAATCATGTCCACATGAAATTAGTGGAAGAAATGAAGGAAATGTTGTAAAACCTGAATACACCTGTTTTGTATTGCAAACGTGAATTTTAAGTGGAATTTTCTGCCAGTAACACTTTATATATTTGCTTCATAGACATAACTTGAATGACTGCTGTACAGACTCACAATGGGATTGTAATCTGGACAGTTTGAAGATCTGTCTGTAACAGTAATGCTCTTGTTTTCAAACCATTCCTTGGTGACTTTAGCATTGTGAATGGCTTCATTATCCTGACAAAATAGAAACTTTCTTCCTTAATAATGGTCAGTAAATTGGTTAAGATTTTTCTCTAACACTTCTATGCAATGATGAGGATTTTTTGCCTTCCATCACTCCGAATATAAGTTTATAAATGACAAGCATATATTATTACCAACTGGAGATTTATTTAACATGTAATATGAAATCTTTCATGACACCATACAGAATGACCAAAAATATTGAAAGCAAGTAAATTCTGATATATTAAATAGTACATTTAGAAAATGTAAATAGTACGTTTAGAAAATGTAAATAGTACGTTTAAAAAATGTAAATAGTACGTTTAAAAAATGTAAATAGTACGTTTAAAAAATGTAAATAGTACGTTTAAAAAATGTAAATAGAAAATTTAAATAGTACATTTAGAGAATTTAAATAGAAAATTTAAATAGTACATTTAGTAAATTTAGAGTTGAGTAACTACACAAGAATAGGATGATTTATTAGACAGGGATGTGTGTTTTCTCACTGAATTTATTCATACCTCTACATTGACAACTACAAGTCCTGTAAACTTTTTAATTGATTCCTTTAATGTTTCTTTTATGGATTACCTGCGATTTGATGCCAGAAACACATTTTGAATTTTAAGAATAATTTTTCTTGTGAATGAATATTCACTTAAGTTTTTTAAGATATTGATTTTTCCATGTCTACATCCGACTATTTAACTCATAGATAGGGGGACAATATGTTTCATATCTTTCCCAAAGGGTATTTGTGCATAAATGAATATAATAAACCTGACTGGAATTCAATCTCAACCCTCTGATTTCTCTTTGTGCAATTGCTATCCATTATACCACCCACACATCCAGTCCTACAAGGATTTATTGTTGAGGAATGGGATGTTATGGTGTAGCCAATTCAACATAGGAATTTTTTGGCAGAGGGACGATTAGATGTCAGATTACTACTACATCATTATGGTTAAATTTCCTCTCTGTCTCTCATTTAGTAGTCAAATTAGTACTTTGTTGTTATACTCAAATTTACTTGAATAGCCCAATTTAAGAAAAGGAATAGTTGGAGGCATTTTTAAATTTAAGAAAAAGTGAGGTTGAGGTATTTTTAAATTTAAGAAAAAGTGAGGTTGGAGGCATTTTTAAATTTAAGAAAAAGTGAGGTTGGAGGTATTTTTAAATTCAAGAAAAAGTGAGGTTGGAGGTATTTTTAAATTTAAAAAAAAGTGAGGTTGGAGGTATTTTTATATTATATTTCCTTCGGTGCAGTTTCAAGCCCTTTTATTCCAATGGAACCAAATATTTTATCAAAACGTGGAAGAAACTATGTGATAATTACAAAATGAGTAAGTATTTTCTAAGATTAGATAGCTTTACTAAGTTTTTAAATTTTTGTAATTTAAGTTTTTAATTTATATTATTCCATTTGTGTTTTAATAGGATTCTTAATTCCCGAAATGAATAAAAAGTCATATTGAAAGTTGGGTGTTTTCAATGCTTTTATCTTCTTTTGGGGGTTGCCTCTGGTAAAAGTCAGTGACGTCAAAACAGTCTGAGGCCTAAATGGCTGTGCTGAATAGTCCAATTATTTTTCTCACACTGAATCAGTTACGCAAAAATGTACCAAACCCATATTCTTGACGGGTATAATCTTAACCGTATGAGATACACAGTCTTGTCCTGACATCTTTGCTTAAATCACTTTCCTGATACAATTCATGTATCTTCCCTTTGCTTTTTCTATAAATATTTTCATGGTAATTGTTCTGTTGAACTTTCATCTTTGGTACCTTGAGTTAAAAAAATTTAAGTGCAGTACTAGATTGGCAGCTAGGTCTTGTCATTTTACTGATGAAATTGATAGATGTGAGACTAAGTTGTATAGTTTTTCCTTCTATACCTCTCACTTGTAAAGGTACCCAACTCACTAATGGTCAACCAGACTATTCTTGTTAACAACTGTCACCACACAAAGTCGGCTGATTTTACATGTCAGTCTTTGTTGGGTTATTTAATGTTAAATTTGTATGGGGAACTCATCGAGAATTGAACACACTACTCAGTAGTAATGACTGACTAGACTAATCTTGTTTGCCATTACCTCTCACCAACATCCATATTGAGTACTGAAAAGTTTAAAAAAGAAAAGAAAAAAAAGCTTCATGATACAATTTTAACATGAAATAGCAGATGATTATATATATGTTTTTAAAATCAGTATCACCCCATGCAAAGCCGTAAAGACACAAGGAGTTATAGGGTATGGAAGAATTCGGAACAGAAACATTAATAAGTGGGAAGAGAAAAGAGTAATCAGGTAGACAGTAGAGAATGATTGACATTGCATTTAAATTTTTGTAGATTAAAGTTGGCTGGAAAGTATGGAGCTGGAAGAGAGTTCCATGTAAGCAAGAAGTGTGAGAAAATAAACTGTTAGCATAGAATTTACGGATACATCTAACCAAGCTC